CCTCACCCTCCTCCCCTGTCCCTCAACTAGCGCCTTCCACATTCCCTAACCTCACCAGCCCACGGCACTGTATGCTCCCTCCCGTACTTTCTCCTTGTTCCCCTCAGGACAAGAGACACTACCCGCTGCGGCTGGTTCAACCACGTAAGCACGGATCGACTAGCCAGTATGCACTTGCCAACTTTCTAGTTAGCAAGAAAATAGAAGACAACTGTTCAACTCCTCTTGCACCTTCTTCCCCAGAGAAGAAAAGGTATGCACTTATTTTGGTTTTCTCTCTGATCTCTGTGGAACTTTAAAGAGCTCTTGAAGAAACTTTGAGATGTCTATGCCACTGCCAAATTTGGCTGAAATCTACTAAAGTTGTTAAAATGGAATTGATAGAGTGATTACACAAGCTTTCTTTACTTTGGAAAGTAGGCTAAAAACCCATTAACAGTCTTACTTATGTCATCTCTTCATTCCCATTCTTCATTTAAAAATAACAATTCTATTCTACTGCATTAGCTTATGTAACCCACCCCTGAGCCAAAGTAGTTGAAACTTTTGGTCTGCATCTATGAAATGTGTGTGCCTCTCCATGTGTTTGTCCATTTTAAGGTGCTCGATATTATGAAAAATAATGGCGAGAAGATCAGTGAAACCAAATAAGCCTCACTAACGGCTATCCCCCAAAGTTGTTGAACTGGTATCGTTGCAAGCAAGCACTGAACTGCTTTTTCTCTAGCAAGCTGTCAGCTGTTCTCATGGTTACAGATCTAGGAATTTGGAATGACGGGTCACAGTTATGAGAACGAGGAGATTTATTTGGCATGTTTCTATCTAGTAAATAACATTCTCCCATGAAGAGGACAAGAGGCTGCTGTACATTGTCACGGTGTTTATTCTCTGTGAAAACCACTTTTTAAAGTCTCTGTCCCAAGAAAGAAGGTGCTAACCAGACTTAGGTATTTCTTAAAATTGCTCACTCACAGAATGAAGACAAAAATATATAACTCTTGCACTCTCTCCATTACTATAAATGGACCACTGGTGCTTTCACTGCAAGATTCAACTGTGTATATACACTTCCCAGATGGCGTGAAGCAAGGGTAGAAAAGCACGCTTCCCATTTAAATGCAAGGGAAGGCAGGAATGTTAACTGTTGCCATAGGGTAAAAATCTATTCTGTCAATTGGCTATTTAACTTTTGATTAAGTTAACTGTCAAGATTTGTGAAGCTCCAGCTATGGCGTTATGCAAATTACTTTAGCACAGCTATGCACAATTGGTTTTCACAGAACCACAAGTTCAGCTAACGGGACAGCAGCACAAGAGGCTTCTCTCACACTTCCAACTCTTCACTGCTGGAGGGGTCTTCCAGGAAAGCCAGAGCAGTCCAGTTTCCAAAGCCTCTGTTAATTACTGAAAAATGAAATGCAGAACTTGTGCCGAGGAACTGGAACACCACCCACGGAGCTTCTCCAAAAGGTGGGCCTGCCTAGATACGAACAGCGTTTCGATCCTGCTGAGCCAGGCTGGAACTGTACTGTAATCGTCAGTCATCAGGCCTAAGGTGAACACCCCCGGGGCCCTGACACTCCAGGGACATGCCCACATACTGAGCTCAGTAAGAAACAAAAATTTAATGTCATGATGTGCCAGTTCATCCAACCCAGAATGCTCCATCAAACGCTTAACTGAACCACTCATCCTCTCCGAGAGCTCTCTGTTTGCTTAGTGAGCTGCCAAGGAGAAGCATCCTCCAAGGGGCACAGTCGGGGACAGCGCTCCCAGGCTTACCATCCCAGGGTTTAAGGACTGGTAACGCCAGGACAGCAAGCCCTGTATGCAGAGGAAGGGCTCCAGGATTTCCTGCCTCTCACGCAGGCCTGCACAAGGTAGCTTGAGAGCCCGCAATATTTTAAAGACCCAACTGTGTCTTGATTTCCAGGTCAACAGTTGAGAGGCCTCCAGCCAAGAGGCCTGGGAGGGCCTTCTTCAGCTTCGGTCTCAAGCTCCTGGGTCTGCAGATGGAAGCCTTGAAGCCCTGATAACAGGAACATTATCAGAACTTCTGCTCCCGCAGTTGAAGACCTGGCCAAGTTCCCAAGGTCCCTGCTAGGCACTGGGGAGTCTGGTAGGCTTGACAGTCCAGCAGTCCTCTGAACGCTGGTGTGAGCTTAGTCATAAGGTGTCAGGCTCCAAATTAATTTCTAATATTTCCAAAGAAAACTCTAAGGAAATTCTAATACAAGGGAAATTTTGAAATGTCACAGTTTCCCATGAATTAGGTAACAGCAAGTTTGGCCGACCTCTGATTCCTGTTTCCTTCAGAAAAATCTCTATCCTTTGTATTCCACCCTGAGAACAAGCCTTCATCTATTAAAATACATACACCAAAAACAATAAATATGAACAAAATGTGCCAATTTGCCCCTAAACAGAATCTTCAAAATATAAAAACCACTCCTCAGGTTATCCTAAAGTTTCTAGTTATTTTCACACATGCCTGCCTTGAACCCAGAGCCTCCCATTCTAAAACATACTCATTCTGCCTCAAGATTAATTAGTAGAAGGACACATCCTGTAATGTTGAACCCATGGAGGTTCAAAGCACAGGCTCCTACTTCGGCATGCTATGAGCTCACTGCTTCACTAAAGAAACAGTGTCTGTAAAGACTGGACAGCTGAGCACAGGGATTGCTAGTACTGCAGCACTGTCCGATACCAAAAGACACCAAACACGAGAACAAGCCTGTCCCAGTCACCTCCAGTTATCAGCGAGCACCTGAGATGAAGGGCAGTGTGCCTGACCCCAGGGAGAACAACAGATTCCCGGGATTCAAGCTCACAGTGGGTAATGCAGCAAGGAAGGGAGGGATGAACTACACGAGTAGGCATTACACAGATGAAAGATTTGGCCCATTTAATTTATTAGGCAGAACCATGAAGTTGGTGACACTTAGTTCTGCTGTTTTAGAATCCTAGGTACCAGCCCCAGCTCCCGTTTGCCAACTTGCCACAGAAGCGATCATGAGATAAGGAGTATCAGTCAGAACGCAGGCTCCTGGTGGGCAGTTTGCCCTGTCTTCTCCTGTGCTGCAGGTACGCAAAAATAACTCAGCCTTTTAAAACCGTGAAGTATTTTACCAGTTGAGTGAATACTTACTTTACCAATGAGACATTAAAAAAATCCTGCAGCTGCACTAAACTTGGGAAACGTGCAAAAACTTTTTCAAAAATGGAATTCTCATACTACTATTAAAGTTCTCAACTTCCCACGCACCTAAATGAACAGGACTTTCTTTTGGAGTTTAAAACATTTATAATACAGCTATTTTTTGTTTGTTTATAAATCATTGTTAAAAGCAACATTCTTTACTTTCAAAATTTTTTCTTGTCATTAAAAGGTGACTAAAGCCTGTCCCAATTCTGCATTGCCTAGAAACTTCATATAATTTAAAGTAAAGGAACACCAGTCATCACATCCACTTATGCTGTATGGTTTTGATACACGTGGCAGGCTACAGGGAAGGATACAGTTCTGAGGAATGATTTAGAACTCAATATTGTATCAAATACCAGTTATTTCAGATATGCAGAAGCAAAGCCTTAGAGGTAAGGCTTCTCGCCTGAAGAATCGGGTTTGCTTCAGTCTATATTCAGAGACAAGTTAACCAGACGCCACCATGACATCTCAGAGTTCTCCGTGTTGCTAAAGTGTTACTGCTAATCCTTGCTCCCTATTAAGCATGCATACAGCCCACTGCAAACTGCAATAGCAGGGATATTGAGTCAAATGATCCTATACTGCTTCTCCCTCTTTCATTTCTATTACTCTGCTACTTTCACAAAATCCCCACTAGCATAGCATGTATTTCAGAAAAGAAAGCAAAACAGTAGAATCTGGTGTGCAGAGGAAACAGCCACTATCTCAGGATCAAAAATACAAATTAAGTAGTATTATTATCGGCTTCTTGACATGCAATATTGACAAAGTACAAAACGTTCTGGGTTGTTTTTTTTTTTTTTTCTCTTCCAAAACCAGGCCACAAGTTGATGCAAACAAAACCAGTATTGCACACAGTGTTTCAGCTCCTGTACTATGTGTCCTCTAAAGTAGTAAACCCACAACTACCATGAGAAAAGTCCAGCTGGAGGTATCACCTACAAGTTGCATTATTTCTTGCTTATACGTTTTTCAAAACATATGTTCTGCTTGAAAACAATACAGTGCCGACGAGCTGGCAGTGGAACAACAATTTAGGTTGCGGTCTCAATAAAGGTAGGAGGGGGAATTCGCTAAAGCAACGTATTTCAGTTACAAAACCCCAAGAGCATACTATAAGGAGTCAGGCAAATAGATAATTAAAGATCATGACAAAGCAACTAACTATATGCCTTTAAAAGTGCACTTCATGGATGAAAGCTGCCAAATTACAGAGGGGATTTACTGAGAAGAATGTGTTGCTGCCAGAACGGACAAAAGCACGCATTCTACCCATTCCAAGCTCCTCCCCATCTCCTGTCATGCTCACAGCAAGGAGCAGCTCAAAAATTGACAACCACGGACTCCAGGATTGGAAGAGACAAAAAATACCTGCTGGTAAATGCCTGGAAAAATTTTATTTTGAAGATCTGACAAAGGAGACTGGGGAAAAAAGAAACGAAACAAAAAAACAACCCACTTATGATCCAAATACGTCCCCTCACATTCTTGGGACATCAAGCACAGTTTCACAGGAGAAAGGAAACAGCGCACACCTGGTCGGGCTTTAGAAGGGCCAGCGTGCAGCGGCAGCGCTTCTCGAACAGGCGCAGCAACCTGTGTCCCGCACCGCGCTGCTGCCGGCCCCGAGGCGGGAGTTTCCCGGAGTTTGCGTGGAGTCGGGTCACGGCAACCTCGCTCCAAACAGCTCCCGGGGACGCCGGGGGGCAGCCGCAGGCCCGCCTGGCCGCCCCCCCTCCGGGCAGAGCGGCGTGTCCCAGCTCCCCCCCACCCCCGCGTCCCCCTCTACCTGGTTGGTGTCCTCGCCGTGCTCCAGGTGCACGATGCCCTGGCTCCTGCCCTCCGTGTCGCTCAGCACGTCGTCCTCCGAGTCCTCCAGGAGGGACGAGGAGCCGGTGGAGGAGAGCGAGGAGGTGGAGAGCCTGCGGGACTGCAGGTGCAGCGAGCTGTCCGTCCTCAGCCAGCCGCCCTCCGGGTGCGCCGGCCGCGCCTGGGGGCTGCCCTGCGCCTCCTCGCCCTCCTCGGCGGTGACG